AGTGAAGAGAAAATACACTTTAAGGCACAAACTAGCTCAATATAGAGAGAGAGAAAGAATGAGAAATATAGAGAGAGATATATTATTTCTAAAGTTGCTGAACCTCTGTAAAGGGGGAGGAGCCTCCCATTATATAGAGGCATGCAATGCAAAGCTTGTTAAATAAGCTTGAAATGGGCTTCATCCCTCCATACATATGGAGGAGGGCTTAGTGAAAACCAGTTGGCTCAAAAGATCTGGCGTGAAATCTGCTAAGACAAGGTGTTCTGCCAGCCATCAGTGGTGGCCAGCAGTGCCTCATTGATGGCCGGCAGGCTTCATCAATGGCAAACAGGGATAAATGCATGGCCGGCAGTGCCAAAAAATGGCTGGCAGTGCACTATAATAAGCATGCTGAAAGGACCAACACATCGTCCAAAAATAGGGCAGAAAGGATACAGGGTTTGGAAAGCTCAAACCTGTGACGTTCCGCCACGAAATTTGAGTACTCGACGAGCAATCGAACTTGTCCTTGGATGTACTTGCAAGCATATCCAAGTCTTGAGGACGGTAAAAAATGGGGTGTCTACAGTACCTCTCGAGGTCTCTTTCTAGATAGCGAGACACAGACTTTAGCGACTGACTCCACCACCTCTTAGGCTTCCCTTAGCTGAGTACACATCATTCTCACTGATGCACTAATGGAGGGGGAGAGAAACTTGCAAAAGCTAGACATGCATCGCCTTAGCCGAATGGGGTTCCTCTACGATAGGCAAAGATAGCAGTTTGAAGCAGCAAAATAAACTAGTTTGTTTCCCCTGACCAAAAAGGAAGATGAAGAGATAAGTCAGGTTATAGGATATGTTCCACAGCGGGGACCATTGGATCATTGTTACAGAAATTGAACAACGAATTAAGGTTGCAGTGCCAATACAACTTGTTGCTTGGGGTGAAAGTACCTTCTCTCCCAAGCGAAAGAAACTCCATAACACCCAAGCTCTTTACAAGAAAGGGAGTATGATCACAGGCGAACCAACAGAAGCTCAAATGAAAGTTTGTCTGAGGAGGAGGCATGTGTGGAATGCCTTGATCCATGCCAAATTGCCTGAGGACTCTTTCTGGTCAATAAACGACACTTGAAATGCCCTCCCCGTTCCATACTAGCAAATATCCAAGCCGTATCATAGCGATCACTAGAAGAGTTGCTAGGATATCCTCAACAGAAAGGTCAATGTGCCAAACCTCTAAAGAGTATAAGAAAACAGCCAAAATGCCTGGAAAAGTCTGAGTATATGGGCGGAACACACAATCCTCCAAGCGATCAATGTAATCCATGAAAGGCGTGTTGGTACTGATGCCAGACCATCTAGAGATGCGAGAAAAAGAGTTGTGTGTCTGTCTGGTGACGACCAGTCCCTCCGCATCTAGAACGGGATGATCCTCTGCATTTATGGCCTCCTCAGTATAAAAGCGCTCGTGCTCCTTGGGAACGGGACCCATAGCAGGGAACCGTTCATAGAAAAAGGCAATTAGAAACTGAGTGTGCACAAAACTCCACACATCATAACGACCCATGGACCTCTCCACGTCTGCATGAATAAGATCAAGACAGAAGTATAGATTCCCTAAGAAGATGGGAGCTAAAGGGATCTAGGAGCCGCTGCAAAGCTTGATAGCAAGGGGAAACACCAGTGGATTGATACTTTTAGCTGGATTACTGGGGAGAACAAAGAAAAAGATGAAGTAGCCGACAAAAGCGGCAAGATATAAGTTGCCACAGTAACTCGGGCTAACTATAGATTCACGAGAGATATGTTGTCTTTGAAGTAGTCTTTGAAGAATTGTTTTAGCCAAGAGAGATATGTTGTCTTGTCTTTCTTTGCACTCTCCTGCAATAACTCCGCAGTCCTGGAGTCGTACCAAGAACCAAACTTTTGTGCCTCTCAGAAGGCACCTTGAAGGGCAGTAACTACGGTCTGCTCTGCAGTAGTGAAAGATGTGCCTTGAAGCTCGTCAGTACTGATGGATTGATGGCTCTCCAGGAAACGAACCAATGAGTACCTCCTCAGCCTGATCAACAACAGCAGCAGCAGCATCATCCCTTGAACCATTATCAATGACATCCTCTTCCAAGATTTGAGGTGCTTCTTCCAACACAATATCATCACCCCGGCCTCTACCCTGACCTAGTCCTGGATCTCAGCCACGAGTAGGATTTGTTAATGTACGACGTCGTCTCTCTGAGGCAGTGGGTGGAATACACGAAGGGTTATCCATTTTTGAAAATGAAACAGAAAATAATAAAGTTAACAGAAGTAACACAAATCATTTATGTTAAAATACTCACAATCATTCAAATTCTTGTTTCTTTAAGTTCGTAATAACCCATCATTTTTACTTTTGTGTAGAAACAAATTTTGAAACTGTAAAACATAGCAAACTTTTTAGTCTTTTAAAAAAATGTGAGCTACGTTGAGAAAATATTCCTAAAACAATTTAAAAACAAATTTTCTGTTTTTTTTTTTTGGAAAAATAAAAATAGAGAATTAGAAGTTGTAATTTCTTTACAGTGACTTGTTTTGTAAAATTGATTGGGACTGCATACCAACATTGGGTAACATCCTTGCTTTAAAAAAATAATTACAAAAAAAAAAAGCATCAGAAATTAAATAGATTCTAGTATGGCAAACATAACACAGAAGTAACACTCTATTTGATTATGTGAAAGCATAATAAATTGATTTTATGAAAGCATAGTGGCTATACAATCTATTTGAGTTGGAGGATTATAGAGCTAACACTCTATTTGATTATGTGAGAAATGGTGAGAAAGATAACATTCTTATTTTGCGTATTTTGTTTTCTCACAAAAAATGGTGAGTTTTGGTGAAAAACATGATGATTGGTTATAAAGGTCAGCTTTATAGCAAGGGATGCTCTTTGTCATATAATTTAATTTATGAATATGAATGAGATATTTGTTATTGAAACCATTCTAGCCTTGCTCAAACTGTTGAGTTAAGAGTCTGTTGATTTTCAATAAATGATTTATAGGAACTGAAATATATATATATATATATATATTTAATGTAATGTATTCTTCCAAATTCAGTTGGTTACTTTGGTTCCCACAGTGTTCCATTTCTTTAGAGGAATTGGTCTAGCCCTCTAGCTAATGTTCACAACAAAGAAATCAATAAAACACACACAAAAAAAAAAAAAAAAAAACACACAGATACTGTTCGACAGTACAACATCGAGCATGTTGTTAGTGTTTGACATTTTAGATCCGAATTACGTATCAGGTTCGACACTAAGATGTCAAACATGTTCGACAATAATAGACTTGACAATCTGCTATTGTTCAAAAGTTAAGTGTCGAACGACATGTTGTTCGACAGAAATTGACCGTACAAATGTTTGGGGTTCGAAATTCTAGTGTCGAACGGTTCGGAAACTGAATCATTCAAATATAAATTTCATGGCAATGGAAAAAAGTACATAAAATCCTAAAATCTAAGCCAAATGAGAACTCACCTACTGTATCTCCAATGTGGAGTTGTTTCCAACTGTGTTGAGCACCACCGACGACGTCTTTGATGAGAAAAAAAGTGTATTAAGCAATGGGTCTTCACCACTACTTTAACCTGGTTGAGAATGGGTCTTCACCAGTTTAAACAGAGAATGGAAGGGGAGAAGGAAGATCGTGGATGGGTGGGTGCGGTGTACGAGTGAGTGAGGGTAAAAATAAAAGATTGTGGGTAGATCGTGAGTGAAGTGTGTGAGTAAGGGTAAAGATGGAAGATTGTAGTGTGTATTGAGCAAAACATTTATTTATCAAATTATTAAATGTGTGCCTTGAGTAGTGGTTTGCCTTAAGATAAAATGTAGTGTGTAAATAGAGGCACCCTAATCTTTGGTCAAACAAAATTTAAAATTGAATTTTTGGTCCGAACGCCCACATTTATTTTGCAGATTCATCTAATATAGAAACATTTTAAAAATTATTTTTTACTTTTTCGAAAAAATTCTAAAAAATTCTCTAAAGACAAATAAAATAAAAAAATAAATTTTTTTATTTTATTTAATAAAAATAAAAATAAAAAGAGGCCAATAATGCCAATTCCAAATACATAACAAGGAGTATTACTTTTATTCTTTTATTTAATTCATTCAAATAAAATAAAATGAAATAGAATTGTAATTTTTTAAACTTTTATATAGACTGATTAATTTCTTAAAATAATAGAAGATGATTTTATTTATAATGTGTTTGTCGTTTTTTTTGTAATCTAATATTTTAATGAAATATAATTCCATTCACTATTTCCTAAACTTTCATTTGAAAATAATTTTTTTAATCTCATTTTTTAATTATTTTAACTTAGTTAAAAAGTTTCGTTTAGAAAGAATTTTTAATTTTTTTTATAATTTTATAAGAGAAAAATTAAAATAATTATAATTTAAATATAATATTTTATTTGGGGCACATTTTTATAAATCTCTTTTTACTTACTTATGTTTCATTTAATTCACATTATTTTCTTATGTTCCAATAAATCTTATAGGTGACATAATTATCAAAATATTCATAATAATATTTACATTTATAGTGTGAATATTCTGTAATGTGAATGTTCACACCATCAATGTGAATATTTACACCGTCAATATGAATGTTATCATGTCAATGTGAATATTCACATTGTAAAATACAAATGTTTACATCACCAAATTACTAATCGTTCAAAAAATATTTGTAAGGGTAGAAATATCCATAAAATACCTTAAATATAAGAATTAAGATTTGTTAGATCAAATATTCAAATAAGAAGATATATCAAAATATAAGAATATCTTATAAACTAATTAAGATACAAATACTTTAAAAAGAATTTTTTAATAAATTTCTTATTTTATTTTATTATATTAATTTTTTAATTTATTTCATCTTCAGCTAAATTAGTCCGACTTGGCAAACGAAACCAAACTTGTATGATTCTTCAAGCCCATCATCATGCATGAAGAGGCTCAGCAGCTCTTCCTCTCTCCACTCTCTCAAGAACCTACTTCTCCAAAACCTCTACCCACAAGCCCTCAAATCTTCAATCTCTCTTCACAACCCACTTCTTACCGACACACTCTACGCCCTCTTCCTCCAATCAGGCTTCATTCTCGACCCATTCCTCTCCACCTCTCTCATCACCCACTTCTCCCTCTCCGGCGACTTCTCACGCGCCACCCAACTCCTCCGTGACACCCACCAACCCGACACAGTCGTCTACAACTCTCTCATTTCTGGGTTCGCCCGTTTTAGCCGACCCGACCCTGTTTTCAAGCTCTTCAATGGGTTGAGGCAATTGGGTCTAAACCCGGATGTTTATACACTTAGTTCTTTGATCAAAGCCTGTGATGATTTGGAGCACATTGAGATTGCTCATGGAGTTTCCATCAAAATGGGTTTGGTCTCGGTTGTGTTCTTGGTCAGTGGGCTCGTCGAGAACTATTCGAAATCTGGGTGTGTTAATGGAGCTGAGAAGTGTTTTGAGGAGTGCTTGGTTTTGGATTCTGTGGTTTGGACGGCCATGATTAATGGGTTTATACACATTTCATTTATTCACTTGTTCTCTCTCTCTATCAATTTTATCTAATAGTTTGGAATGGATTGTTTGATAAGGGTAGAGAGATTTTTATGGGTATGAGGGTTTGGAATTGAATGAGTTTAGCTTGACTAGTGTGCTTGGTGCTTTGTTTGAGGTCAAAGAAGGTGAGCAGATTCATGGATTCAGACTAAAGATGGGTTTTTTATGTGGCTGTTCGACTAATTTGAACAATGCAATAATGAATTTGTATTCTAGGTGAGGAAGAAAATCTGATGCTGTATAAGTGTTTGATGAAATTCCTCAACCAGATGTTGTTTCTTGGACGGGGTGAATTGGTTCTGCCTATGATGCTGTAGAAGCTTTTGAAGATTTTGAAATTTGTCGCTCGAGAGGTTATGAAGTAAATGAGTATACGATGAGTAATGTTCTGTCTGTCATTCCAGGCCCAAAGTTGTTGAATCCTGGAAAGCAAATTCATGCCCTTTGTTACAAGGCTGGACATTTGCTTGTTGTTTCTGTTTGCAATGCAATAATTTCTATGTATGGGAAATGTGGATTGATGGGTTTTGCCAAGTGTGTCTTTGATGAGATGATTTGTCGAGATTTTGTTTCTTGGAATTCTCTGATAGCTGGTTATTCTGAGAATGGGATTTTTGTGAGGCCATTGAAATGTTTTCGCAGATGCGTGATTTCTTGATACAGCCTAATAAATATACTCTTGCTAGCATTCTTGACGTTGTGTCCAACTCATGTTCTACAAACCAGTCAATGCAAATACATTGTCTAATAATTAAACTTGGATTTGAGTCAGGTGATTCCATGTTGTCTAGTTTAATAACATCATATGGTAAATGCAATGGAATTGATGAATCAAAGAGGGTGTTTACAGAGATTGATGAACCGAACGTTTTACTACTTAATGCCATGGCATCAACATTTGTCCATTCCAATTATCATTTTGATGCCCTGAAATTGTTCCAGGAGGCACAAAGCTTGTCCCTTGAAATTGACTGTGTAATTTTTAGCATAGTTCTCAAAGCTTGTGGCTTGTTAACAGATCTGGAACTAGGAAGAACAATTCATTCTCTGGCTTTTAAATTTGGAGTTGATCACGACATATTTGTTGAAACTGCTGCAATCAATGCTTACTGTAAGTGTGGTAGCATAGATGATGCGGAAAAAGCTTTTAGGGTTATATCTAAGGACAATTTGGCTGCTTGGAATGCCATGTTGATGGGATATGCTCAACGTGGTTGCTTCCATGAAGTTTTTGATCTATTCAAGAAAATGCCTGAATTGGGAATGAAACCTGATGAGATAACTTACCTAGGAGTTCTCAGTTCATGTTGCCATGCAGGGTTAGTGAATGAAGCACAATCTCACCTAAACTCTATGTTTGAATCTCATGGGGTGATCCCATGTTTAGAACACTACGCTTGTGTGGTTGATGTGCTTGGTCGAGTTGGACTCGTAGAAGAGGCAAAGAGGATCATTGATCAAATGCCTATTTGCCCCGATGCTCAAATATGGCAGATTCTTTTATCAGCGTGTAATATCCACGGAAATGTTGAATTAGGAAAAGTTGCGGCAAGAGAACTTCAGTTACAGCCTGAGAATGACTCTGCTTATATTCTTCTCTCGAATCTCTATGCCTCTGCTGGTATGTGGAATGCTGTTGGAAGCCTGAGAAAGGAAATGAAACAAAGAATAATCTATACGGAACCTGGTTCTAGTTGGATTCAAGTTAGAGGATCAATCCACTACTTCATTGCTGGTGAGGAATTGCATCCTGATGGTAAAGAAGTTTATATGATGCTGCAAAATTTGAGCAAGCAGATGATTCTAGTGCCCGACTCGGAGCAAGACAGCGTCATCTCATTTGACCCATAAACTATGGAGCTCAAAATACACGTTGACATTACCGCATCATGAGTTGAAGTGGATTGAATTTCTTCTTGACGTCAATGACATATGAAAAGCATAAAATACACCTTGAATTGTGTGTTTTGGGAGCCATAAAAGTTTTCATATATTCCATATCAAATTGGGTTTTTGGACCCCTTTTATCGTGTCATATTGCAAGTTACTTCTGGTGGCCAAACAATAATGACTCCAGCAGCTTATGAAGTTAACTCCAGTGGATGAAAGGAGAGGTTGAACTGTATTGAGCATTTTCTAATGGTTTTTGTTATTCATAGCTTGGGTTCACAGGTTTGGTGAAGCAGGGGATCCTATGGTGGAAGCAGCTGGAAAAACAGCTTATTAGTTATGTGCTTTTCCTTTTTGATATGTTTATCTCTTAGTTTTGCATTTAATATTTTACTAGTTACGTAGTTCGTATCGTGAATTTCAAATCCTAATTTTTTGAAACAGAATTGAATCAGATCGAGAAACGTGGTAAGATTAGGCACAAATCATAAAAAATAAGGTTAAACAATTCTATATATATATATGAAAGAAAATAAAATGACATAGATCTAACATTTTCACTCTTAGAAGTTGTATTCTAGCATTTTCATGAGTTAAAAAGAGTCAAAATCCATCAGATCTAACAGTTTCAAGAATCACTTAAATCGTAAACGTTAATCGAATTGTGAATCATGCTAGATTCACCCATAGAAAAACAAAAACAAAGAAAAAAAAGAAGAAATATTGAGATACCAGGTATAAGAGATATGCTATCCATTTTCTTTTTACCAGCTTTGTTCCTTTGTTCCTTGATGACATCTGTGGCTTCATCACCAAACAAATTACTAGTTGTTCCATTTCAACATCAACTTTGTTTTTTAGACTATCATAAATGTAATTTTCTCTGAAGTGCCTTTGTGTTTAGCCAAGGTTAATCCAATTTAGTTAGGTAGCTATTATCATGCTCTTATTTCTTGATTTATTTGTGGGTGCAACATCAGTTCAATAAATAGGAATTATTATTTACTGAAATTGTTAAGATAGTGTATCCTGTATTAGTTCAAAAAATTGTCATTTTACTTTGAAAACATGACACTCGGGTTTTCTCCAGATGAAATTTGTTGTACTGTATTGAGAATACATTGTGTTTTTGGAATTAACATTTCTATCTTAATCTTAAATTAGAAACTGGATAGCTTACCACAGGCGTGGTAAGTTCCTTAAAGCAAAATGGTAGAAAAGAGGTTTCTTAAGTGGCCAGTCATCACCACATTCCATGAAAATTATGCAACTTAAAATGGCTATGCTATTTTTGTTATGTTTTTCCAAGGAAATATATACATATATATGTATATTTAAATAAAAGTTCTGCACCACTATAATCTTCCTGACTGAATTCAAAATTATAAACACATATTACAAGAGAAAAAAGAAGAGAAATTGCAATGTAACTATCAAAAAGTTATCTTGATAGAGACTAGTGATCTCTGATGTGTTTAGTCTCCCTGAGATAGTTTTTCCCACCGGAGTGTTGGCCATGTGAAGGGGCTCTTGAGAGCACAGAAACAATAGAACAGAAAGCATAGGCTGCCATCCTTGACTTTACCTGCCCTCTCTTCGGCAGAGGCCTTCCGCTTCTGAAGGTTTCACCGATTGCCGCAGCAGCAACACCACCGATCTTGTTGTTCATGGTGGAAACTTGAACAAAATCACCTTCTTTTTAGAAAGACGTTGATATATGACCTTTTTTTGGTGTTCAATCTATATGGAAAAGTGGATTTATGACTCAGTTTCTATAGTTTGGGCCAATTTTAGGAGTATATATAGCACACTAATGGCTCATTGCAATGGCACGGGCGGGGAAGGATCGATCTGGGCAGAGTGAAGAAATCTTGGTACAGTTTTTTTTCTCAAAGGTGGAGGTTGGGAAGTATAAGTTTTTTATTTTAGTTTATATGATCCAATTGGAGACAATTGTATAAATTGATAACAATTTGATTTGATGGGCAAAACAGTCATTTCAAAATTTGAATAACTTAATCATGCAACCCAACATTGGTAGATGGATTGGAAGGGGTTGCAGGTCCTACCCAAAACTGAACTAACCAACACGATTAAGGGCAGATCTGGGTTGGGTTGCCCAAACCCGTAACTTGAATTGACCCATCTCAAACACACCCATTTGCCACAAAGTTGAAGAGTATTTTTCACCCATTTGCCACCCTTAGTTGGGATTAGTCGGATTTGCTATGATGCAATTTTGCACCTTTTTCACCTTAATTGATGTAACTGTCTTTGGTTCATTAATAAAGATTTCTTTTTTGGTTGATTTAAAAAAAGTTAGCCTCTTATAATAGAATATTTTTTCTGTTGCTTTGCCCCAATTTGAACCTTAAAACCACTGCTGGTTTAAGAGTTGGTTCTTCACTAGTATAGCATTATCTCTCTCTTTCATCCATTTGCATTGGTATCAATATGCATAATAATTTGCTATTGCCTCCCTAGTTGTTGGTTGCTTGTGCTCAGAGCTTTTTCATATTCTCAAACAAGGCTGTCCCTATACAAGAATCATCTTTCTTTATAAACTTTTTGACCCTCGTGCTAAATTTAATATATTTCACTCTGTCAAGAGAACTCCGTTGCCATTCCCTACCCACTTGTCCAACCCGAAAACCAGTGTCAAGTTTCTTTTTCCCAAAACCGTTTGCATTGTCTGTGTTGAAAAACCACCATGCCTGTAGTCTTGTGGAATGCATATTCAATTTAGCACTGTCCAAATCATGCAAGTATTTTTAAAATATATACCCTCTTTCATGGTCCAAAGAAAGATTACAAATATGGTTTATTTTTTGACTTTTTTATTTATTACGAAAAGACTTGCAAAAAGGTAGTGAAGTTTTGTGACCTAAAGAAACCAAGAAGCTGCTCATTTTTTGTGTACCCAAAACAAGCTTAAAATATGTTTTATGTTTGAAGGTATGTATATATAGTCAAAGCATCTAGCTGGCATGCCTTCTAATCACCCTCCCTAGCCAAAGAACCAATACCTAGAGTCTTCCAAAGAGCCATAGTCCATTTCTCAGCAACTTCTAATATTAACAATAATGAAAAATGAAAGTGTGTCATTGTCTTGCTATATAAAAGCTCTTTAAGTCATAGCAATTGGGATCAAAATCTATCCTTTCTTAGCACAAACACTAGAAGAAGAAAGTGACTAACTATTTCTTGACTCAACAAATGAGGAACAAAGTGAGTGATGCTGAAGTTGCAGCTGCTGTATTCGACAAGAATTTAAGTGAAAGAAGGCCTCTCCCAAAGAGAGGGCAAATTAAAATGAGGATAGCATCGAAAGTGGTTCACGGAATCACATCTGTGCTCTCACTAGCTCCTTCCCAAGATTCCGGTGCTACTGCCAATTTGCTAGAAAGTCCAGTTTCAAAGGAACAAAGTCCAGTTTAAGGGAAATTGAGAGATGTTTAAAAGCCCTTGATTGATGTAAAAATTTTGTTTCGTGATGACCCTTTTAATGTACTAATGATCATCACCATATTCTTTTAATTTTGTTATTTGAGTAGTTTTCGAATTCACAAGCTTAACCTCGTTCATTGGTAAACCAAGCTTTGTTGTCTGGTTCGTAGAACTATAGATTGATATCAGTTATAATCCAGCAAAATTAGAGTAGGGAAATTTATGTGGAGCTCAGTCAATCAAGAGAAAAGGGCTATGAAATTATTGAAAAATCTGACATGACTAGTAAAATACAGCACAAAAAAAAAAAAAGAAAAAAAAAAGAAAAAGAAGAGCCAGCTGAATTCAATATTAGATTTGAGAATTGAGATTTCAAATTTGGGCCTTTAGATGAAAGGACAAAAACTTCTATAACTTCAAACGGTTCAGATGCTTGTAGCCATTTTATAGAGTAGATTAGGAGTGTAAATTTGGCCTGGCTCGACCTAGCTTGGCTCACCTGGGCCCGGCCTATGTTGGGTCTCACGGGTTCCTGCCAAAATTTGGGCCGGCCTGGTCCACGAGCAAAAAAATTAGGCCCAAGCCTAGTCCTAGGGCCAGGCCCAAGGAGTATTTAGGCCTTGGGCGAGGGTGGGCTGGGCCTCGGGCCAGCCTAGGGCTTGGGCAGGCTTGAACAATTTTTTTTGTTTTTATTTTTTTAAATTTTTTCTATCAAAATTTTATTAATATCCACTAAAAAAGACACTAGGCCTCGGGCGGGCTGGGTCTAGGGTTGGGCCTTGAGTGAACCGATGGGCCTGGCCATAAGCCAGGCCAGACTTCAAAATGATGGTCCAGCCCCAAGCCCAAGGTCTCCGGCTGGGTTCGGGTCCAAGCCTAAACGGGCTTAAACAAGCCAGGCTCACCCCGAGCCGTGAGCAGCTTCGGACCGCAGGTTATTTTTACACTCCTAGGTAAATCTATCATCATCTACCCACCATAATAATGCTAGGAACAATAAGTAATACACCAATAAATATAGTAAGATATGCTTGTCCATCACTTGACATGAGATTCACCTAATATTGTCTTTAATTGATATGTTAGTATTGTTATTATATAAAAGGAAAAAATTCTCTGAAATCTGTTGTTTAGATTTCTAGGGCTTGTCACAGCTTTTACTTCACTGATCTGGGTTGTTCAATTGGTAGACTCCAGTGTGTAGATAATTTATGGAAAAAAAATTGATTTGGTAATTATGCCGTTTATAGTTTCGAAAGCAAATATGAAGAAAGTTGGTTATGTTCATTTGATTATTATTATTATTATTTTTTATTATAGATGACATACACACCAAATCTAAATCTTACAAAATAACAATTCAGATCAATGAACTAGTAATCAATAACAAGCCCAAGTACCAAAAAAACACCATATGGTCCACACGCCGAAGAGAATTGCTTCCTATATGAAAAAATAAGGTTCAACTTCTCTCAAGTTTAAATCTAGACTTGACTGTCATGTTGGAGTTTGCG